CTACCTGAGAACTTCATCTGGACCTTGAAACAGGATTTTGGAGACAGTAAGAAGATAAAGATGTGAAAAAGCTCTCTTTTATTCATCAGATGCAAAGAATACTGTAGGTATTCATTAGTTACTGTGGTAATGTTTCCCAATTCCCAACAGATATTAATCTGTGGGATTCAGGAACAACACAAAAATGAAATTCCTGAGATCATGTTATTTTGTATTTTTCCTAACACTTTATTTACATGTTTTTGAAATATAATGAGTAACCATAATAATGAACAATGAATCATTTTCTTGTGATAGGGTTATACTAAAAGTTCCAGAGCTTTATTATTATTATATTTATAATATATATATAATATATTATATATTATTATTTTTTTAAATATAATAGGGGCGCCTGGGTGGTTCAGTCCGTTGAGCGTCTGACTTTGGCTCAGATCATGATCTTGCAGTTCGTGATTTTGAGCCCCGTGTCAGGCCCTGTGCTGACAGCTCAGAGCCTGGAGCCTATTTCAGATTCTGTGTCTCCCTCTCTCTCTGACCCTCCCCAATTCATACTCTGTCTGTCTCTGTCTCAAAAATAAATAAATGTTAAAAAATAAAAATTAAAAAAAAAACAGTGGAGTCTTGATTTTGGCTTAGGTCATGATCTCATGGTTTGTGGATTCGAGCCCTGAGACAGACTCTATGCTGATTGTGTGGATCCTGCTTGGGCTTCTCTGTCTCCTTTGCTCTCTGCCCCTCCCCTGCTCTCTCTCTCTCTCTCTCAAAAATAAGCATTTAAAAAAAAAAAAAGATAATAAAAGCATGGTGTAAGGTTTATTATTATTATGAATAATATTGGACAAGATTGTGTATTTCAATTACATGCAGCAGTGATCACTACTTATTACAGACATTTCATTAAAGAAGTCATTAAAAAAAGAAAGCATTAATGCAAAATAAATTCTAAATAAAAATCATTGTTTTTAAATGTTTTTAATGTTTATTTTTGAGAGAGAGAGAGAGAGAGAGAGAGAGAGAAAGACAGTGCGAGTAGGGGAGGGGCAGAGAAAGAGGGAGACACAGAATCCGAGGCAGGCTCCAGGCTCTGAGCTGTCAGCACAGAGCCCAACACGGGGCTCAAAATCACGAACGGCGAGATCATGACCTGAGCCGAAGTTAGATACTTAACGAAATGAGCCACCCAGGCGCCACTAAATAAAAAATCATTTTTAAAAATAAAAAATTAACACTTAAAAAGTTATTCTTCAAATGATAATTTAAAACACATAAAATATTGTCTTATCCAACAGATTTGATCTTTGTTTTGTGACAAAGATTCCAGATAAGGAAAAATTTCTCTCACTCTGTGATGTTGGTTTAGTTTTTTTGGTGTGTGTGTGTGTGTGTGTGTGTGTGTGTGTGTGTGTGTGTTTACAGAGGGAGGGGTGGGGAGGAGAAGAGGGGCAGAGAGAGAGAGAATCTTATGCAGTCTCCACATTCAGCACGGAGCCGAAGTGGGGCTCTATCCCACGACACTGGGATCATGACCTGAGCCGAAATCAAGAGTCCGATACTGAACCCGACTGAGGCACCCAGGCCCCCCAATGTTGGTTTAGTTTTATGAAGCGCTTCCAAAAGCATTACCCAGTTGGGCATTAGGGCATACGTTGCTTTATATAAACTCATTTACTTTTTCAGCAGTGAAAATATTTTGTCTGTTTTACAAAGAACTTTATCTTTTAGTACATATTCTAACACAAATTGCAGCAAACATGATTGGACTATATTCGAATAATGTAATATTTGGATCTCCTAGCAAGATCAACCACATACATGAAAAAAAGAAAGAAAAAGAAATATGTTGACATTACCAATTTAGGGAGTTATTTTTCTTACAAAACTTGGTATTTCTTGAAATACCATCCATAGGATTAGCACAATGTATTCTATGTATATAAACATATTAATGTTTATTTTATTTGCAACAAGTACTCGCCAGTAAGGCCAGGAACACACGCTTATAACATGACAACAGTAACAAGCAAGATGGATTAGATCTTAACTGCTGCCGTCTAATGTGCTCTTGTCATGCTTTCCAGAGATGTTGACCTTCATCTTTGACTGTACACGTCAGCATTTCCTGTCTTCCTTTTGATTTGATGTCAGTACATTCCTTTGAGTCAATAATATTATTATGTTGATTGTTGAGGTTTAATTTTCCCCTCTACGTTGCTCCTTTGTCAAAAATCAAATGACCGTACACAGAGAAAAACAGTACAGCATAGGGAAAATAGTCAATAATATTGTAATAACATTGTCTGCTGACAGACAGTGACTACACTTACCACGGTGAGCACTGAGTAATGCATAGAATTGTAGAATTGTTATGGTGTTATGGTGTAGAATTGTATGGCGAAACTAATACAACATTGTGTGTCAACTGTACCTCAACAATAAAAAAAACGGGAGACATAACCGAGTACAAAATAAGTGAAATACTAATTTCACATTAAAAAAGCAAAAGAGAAAAGGGGAGAAAAATAAATTGATCATATATATGTGTGGATCTATTTCTGGATTCTTTCATCTGTTCCATTGTCTATGTATATTCTATATGTCCATAGACTCTATATGTCTCTTTTTATGAATACCAAACTGTCTTGCTTATATAGCTTTATAATAAATCTTAAAATCAGGTGAGGCAAGTTCTCCAATTTTGTCCTTATTTTTAAAAGTTGCTGTGGTTAGGGGCACCTGGGTGGCTCAGTCGGTTAAGCATCTGACTCTTGATTTTGGCTCATGACATGATCCCCCAGTTCGTGAGATTGAGCCCCGTATGTGGCTCCACACTGACAGAGTGGGACCTGCTTAAGATCCTTGCTCTCTCCCTCTCTCTCTGCCCCTCCCCCGGCTTGTGTGTGCGCTCTCTCTCTCTCTCTCTCAAAATAAATAAATAAACATTTTTAAAAAATTGCTGTGGTTATTCTTGGCTCTTTGTGTTTACATGTTAATTTTAGAATCAGCTTGTCAATTTCTACAAAACAGCTTTTTGGAATTTTGATTGGGATTGGGTTGAAACTATAAATGAATTTGGTGAGAATTATATTAATAATATTGAGTCTTGTAATCCATGAACGTGGTTGATCATTTCATTAATTTAGATTTTCCAAAAATATAAAAACAGATCAATAGTTACAGGCACATAAAATATGCCGGGCAAAGTATTATGTGCTTTATATGTATACTATTAATTAAAATTTATCATTCCTTTCATTTGACAGATTATACATAGAAGGAAATGGGGAGGTGGAGAGACTCAGTAATTCCCCACAGTCAGTCAGTAAATGGTATAAAAGGGAATGTGGGCCCCCATTTGTCTGACTCAACTTTCTTCAGTTTACTTAACTCAGCTCCAACTAGGGTTAAGTGAGGGTCATCATTTATGCCTGTGAACCTCTCCAAAGTTGAGATTGTTCCTGAACAATCAGGCATTTCAAACTCCCACTGTTATGAAGACTTCACTGTTATGGTAAGGAGATAGTGTTAAATCATGTGAAGGCATACAAGACATTAGAGATTAAATTATATTTTCCAAATTGCACTTGAGAATCAAGTGTGCCAATTGGGCACTTTTGAATATCTATCTTGTTCACAGCACCTGGGATTCAGGTGTATGAGCAGCATAAAATTCTTGTACTCCATTGCAAGAAAAGATACTTCTGTTTATAAATTATCGATGCAAACTGGTTTAGGATTTGAAGAAAGGTTTTATAAAATGTATTAAAAGATCTGACAGCTCTTGATATAATTTGGGGCAATTATCTGTTATGGATATTCAGTGACTTTTACAAATTTATCCATGGCAAAAAAAAAAAAAATCAAAACAAACCTGATGCGGTTGTATTTAAAATTAATCAAAGTTCCTGATCTCTTTCTGACAAGTCAACTTAGGTTTAATTTTTAAAAAGAATTCGTGAAGGAAGAGGTTATAGTGGAAGATGTACTTTTAAAGAAAAACAGATTGGATGACACTTTATAAACATGGTAAGGCAGACTTTATTTAGGACCATCCTGATAGTTACAGGGACCCCTGCAATGGGATTTTACAGTGGGGAAAGAGAGATGAGGCTGAACTGGTAATACAGCATGGGCAAGTGGGAATTGATAGCCCAGGAGCAGGACAGGGGTCAGTGAATGGAAAATTACCAAGAGAAAACAAGATCAGGGGAGTTTTGGCTAAACCCACCTAACAGGACTCTCGCTGAAAACGGCCAGGGTGACCAGACTTCATGGGGGCTGGTGGAGGGTGAGGAACACAATTACATACTGAAGATCAGATATTGGGGGCGGGGGTGTTGGTTAAACTGACTTGGCAAGGTTCTTGCTAAAACTGGATTTTACAAAAAAATGTAATCCTAGGCACGGCTGAGCTTAGGAGGTTTAGCAGTCTGGCTAATGTTTGGCCACACAATCTTCATCACTACCTCAAGTATGTCCAGAGTCCAGCTTTTATTTCTTCTAAGAGCTTTCCAGGGCTCTTTCTGTCCCCAGCACCCAGCCTAGTGGAGTCTAATTAATTGCTTACAAGCAATTCTGCAAAGCTGGAAGGCCTAGAGAGGGTAAAAGGCTCAGGCTTGAAAAGACTTTACAAATTTCACGATTTCCCCCGTTTGCAGACCTCAGAATGGACGGCTGCTGGAGAGCACTGAGCACTCACCCGCAGCCAGGCCCTTTACACCCATTCTCAGGTCTACCCCCGCCCCACAAGCGTATGAGAGCCTTCGGCCAGGAGGGGAGGCCCCTTTGCGGTCGGAAGCCCGGAGCCCACGCACTTTTTTGCACCTACCTCGCCGAAGCCCCTGAGCACTGGAGAAACCCGAGTAGGGCTATGCGGGTTGTTTACAGGAACCGGGAGGGGCGTGAAAGGGTGCCCGAGACCCGGACCGCTCCGGGCTCGTTCGGAGGCCTCCTTCGCACCACCTGGTCCGCTGAAAGACTACCCAGAAAGGGCGTGGAAAAGAGTGGGACAAAGGGGAGGAGGGTCACGAGTCAAAGCGGCGGCGGGGAGGATGCCACCGCCGGCGACTCACGGCCTCCGGGCTCCAGTTGGACCGGGTTAAGCAGAGCTTCAGAGGCTTCTAGAGCGGCGCGCGAACCTGCCGCTCCCCCTGCAGCGCAGAAGACCTGACACCCCCCTGCCTGACCCGCTGACAGCGCCACCCCACCCCCCTTCCCCAGGTGAGTCGAGCCCGGCACCGCCCGGAGGCATCAGGTGTCGTGGGAACGGCGCCCGCGGAGTGCAGGGAGGGACCGCGATGTTGGGAGCCGTCGGTGACACACTGCGAGAGGGTCAGGACCCCCGGACGTCGGCGCCATGGAAGGGACGAAGGTGGGAGCGGGGTGCGAGCTGCAGCGGTTCCGCACAGCGCCCGCTCGGCAGCCTGCCCAAGGTCAGTGGGGTAGGTGGGGGGCCCCCGGCTGGGGTCAGCCCGCACCCCAGCTGCGCGGGCTGGAGGCTCTGCCGCGCAACCCCTGTCCAGGCCTTCGCCCACCCGGAAGCCTGAGGCAGGGACCCCGAGAGCTGAAGCCACCTGCGGCCAGAATCTTGCCCTGGAAGAGCTGGGGAGGGGTTTGCCGTCTGGGGGGCGGCCGGGGGCTCAGGGATGGTCCAGAAGTTGCTCAGCCAGCGTCTCGTGACTCGAGTGGCCTTTACTAGCGGCGTGGGGGGCGGATGGAAATGGAGGTGCTCAGCCGGGACCCCTGCGCGGGGCGAAAGCGGCCTCCAGCCAAGCTGGGCCGTCCGAAGTTGCTGGTGACGCGGAGGCCTGGGAGGAGGGCGGGCTGCGGCTGCACCTGCCAGCGCAAGGTCAGCGGGGACGCTGCTGCGGGGGTGGCAGGGGTGAAGAGAGGAGTTTTGAGTCTGATGGAGTGAGACAACGCTTCTGAAGAAATGAGGTTGCGTTCCTTTGTCAACTGAGGTTTTTACTATTCACACATATTCCCTGGTTTTCTCTCATTTTCTGCAGCTGAATCCAGTTAAGCGTCCATCTCCGTGAATAAACAGCCTCTGTGTGTCAGTTTGTAGATTGTAAGAGCGCGTCTGATACCGCGGATAGGCTCTCTCCTGCGGGGCGTCTCCACCTACCCCGCATCCTGCGCTGCGCCCCCGGGTGGCTGTGAAGGGTGGTTGGCGGGCACTCCTTCGGCGCCTCGGGGTCCGGACACCTGGCACTTTTTAAAGTGCACCCCCAGGAAGGGCTTGTGTGACTTTGGGAAAGCCAACGTTTGCAGCAAGTGTAGCGGCCAGTCCTTGTGAATGAAATTCCTTGCTTCCGGGACAGCTTGGTGCCATAAATTGATTGCCGTTGTCTCATTTTCTCTTTGTTCCTGTGGGTTGCTGTTACACAGCGTGTCTACTTGAAAGTTTACTTTACCCTGTATCAAAATAGAAAGGGCTTAGTGTGTCAAGTCTGTAATTTACCAACATGCACTATTATTACCTGCTTCATTACTAATGGTTAGTCACGTGAGAGTTGTGATGAACATAAAATCATGTTCCTTTTAAGTCCCATTGATGAAGTCTCTAACTGCTCGTTTTTGAAGAAGGAAATAAAATGTTCTTGAATGAAAATCTTAAGGGATTAATAGCTTTTTTTCTCTCCCCTACGTCTTTACCTGAGAGTTTCCGTACTCATACTTTGACAGGCATTTTAAGACGTAAGAACCATACTTGAATGAGTTCGATCATAATTATTGCATTGTGAAGGTATTGCATATTGTATTTTCATGCCATTGTAAATAGGCTTTATGCTTTGCTGACTCAGCAGTCTTCTTGTTAATCTTTTTATTAATCAAGATTTTTAAAAGCTTCCCCGTGGCTAGTTTTTATAGCCAATATCTATTATTTGGAGCTGTTGGGTTTGCTAAGAATGTTTGAATCAGAATCAACTGTGGGATTCTATATTTGGAAAGCAGTGTATTACCTAAACAGTAACTTGTTAGAGGTTGTATTATTATAGTTCGGTTTAATCCCTCCCCCACCTTGATCTCTGAGCAGAAGTCACTGTAACAGCATCACACAAAGCCAGCCTTTCTCTTCTACACGGAAGAACTCTACTTTGCCAGGTGGTTGGGGGTATTTTATTTTGAACAGGTTTCCATAATATTAATATTGGTCGGAGTGAAAATCCAAGATAAGCCCCTGCTTCTGGAGTGATGTCTTTGTCATTTTGGATTGGAAATGCTGACTACAAAGACAGTAAAATTAGCCCCATCTAGTTTCAAAGAGATAAAAGAGATAATAGATACGAGGTACTTTGAAAAGTAAAATGTGCTACATATATATAAGGCCCTCAATAAAAGTCAAATGCAAGTGATATGGCTGATTGCGATTTGGACTTAAATTAAGCTTCTGCATTCCCCTTCGTAGAACAGGTAAGTTTCCTGAGCCTCCGTCGCCCCTTAAGAATCTTGTTGCCTGTTCAGGAAGCTGACCTGGCTGTTTGGGCCATAGGGAGAGTGAGGCTGCTTGCTCAGTGTTGGAACCACTGCTAGGGCTTTATTTGCATTTGTATTTAATCAGAATACATGAGGGTAGGTATTGTTATTACTATTTTGCAGAAGAGAAAACTGAGGCTCAGAGAGGCTGAGTGACTTATCTAAGGTCACAGAGGTGTCAAGTCTTAGAACCGATTTTAGACACCAAACACGGTTTTAGTTCTCTGCACCACATCTTGCTACCTTTAACTCCGGTTTTAAACTTATTTTGATAATATGGTGAAACGTTAAGTATCACTGCACAAGGGTGCCTGGGTGGTTCAGTTGATTGAGCGTCTGACTTTGGCTCAGGTCATCATCTCGCGGTTCACGAGTTCAAGCCCCACGTCACGCTCTGTCCTGACAGCTCAGAGCCTGGAGCCTGCTTCAGATTCTCCGTCTCCCTCTCTGTCTGCACTTCACCACTCACACTGTCTCTTTCTCTCTCTCTCTTTCAAAAATAAGCATTAAAAAAATTTTTTTTAAGTATCACTGCAGGAAAAATGGCCATATCTTCATATATACAAAATTTTGCCTGTTATTTCAGGGTCCACCTACCTTCTAAAACCATTACATAGGCTTGCAGGTCACCCTGTTCTAACTACCTCTGTCACGGAATGAGGCAGAAAGTGTATACGTACTATATATATATGTACATACAATCATTTACTAACAGGAGTAGCCCTTGAGGGCAGCAACTTTCAACCAGGTGAAAATTTACTTAGTAATTGAAACAAAATTCTAATTGCTTCTGTAAATATCTAAAGTGCCCTTTAGAACAATGGGGCTTAGTCGAAACCAGATCTTTTGTTTGGGCTTCTTCAACTAGCCTGTGATAGCAAAGAATATAAATTTATACCTTTACTTATAGAATGTAAATAGGTTTTTTTTTTTCCTCTCCCTAGAGATGGCAAATCCCGAGGTTGTAATCAGTAGCTGCAGCTCTCAAGAAGAGGAAAATCACTGTACTTTTAACCAGCATACATCGCCCTCTGAGGAGCTTCTGTTAGAAGACCAGATGAGGCGAAAACTCAAATTTTTTTTCATGAATCCTTGTGAGAAGTTCTGGGCTCGTGGTAGAAAACCATGGAAGCTTGGCATACAAATTCTAAAAATTGCGATGGTGACTATACAGGTAAGCCTCTCAAATCATGAGTTTAGTGAAGGCCTCTTTTAGTAACAAAAAGCATGGACAGTGGTTTTTCATAACTTTCAACTGTATGTATAATGGAGAACAATAAATTAGGAAACACAATCTTAAACCCTTCTCCCTTCAATATTTGTGAAAGAAGACTTTGGGGTTTTTTTTTTTTCCTTAATTATTTTCCTTCTCATCTTTCATTAAATTACAATTTTGGTCACAAAATGGAATCAGTTTTTAGGAAACGAAGATTTTAATATTCGGTTTCCAATAGAGAAGCTGGAGGTTTTTAAATCATCCATGAAAACTAGCTGTTGCCCAACCAGAGGATTCTTTACCCTCCTAGTTAGTTTCCTGGGAATTTCTCCGTCTTCAGAAATTTCAAAGGTTTCTGTTAAGGCAAGTATCTGGATTCTCACAGCCCTGTGATCATGGGAACCCTGTGATCATGGGAACCCCGTGATCATGGGAACCCCAACACTGAGCAATGTGGAAAAATGTGGAGTTAACTAAAAATGAGTGGCATACACAGTGAAATATGAGACTTCAATTTAGCAGAGTTTGAATCTCATTTCCTTGTCTTCTGTTGACATTTTTGGGGAAAACCATATTTTGCAATTCTTTTCTTTTTTAGACGTTTATTTATTTTTTTGAGACAGAGAGAGACAGAGCATGAACGGGGGAGGGTCAGAGAGAGAGGGAGACACAGAATCCGAAACAGGCTCCAGGCTCCGAGCTGTCGGCACAGAGCCTGACGCGGGGCTTGAACTCACAGACCGTGAGATCATGACCCAAGCCGAAGTCAGATGCTCAACCGACTGAGCCACCCAGGCGCCCCTGCAATTCTTTATATATACTGGTTATGATTTACTCTTGTGAAGATATATTTTCCTACTCGTAAGAGTAATGATCTCTCCTTAAAAGCAAAAGAAAAAAATTAAAAGCAGATATTAACAGGAAAAATAGATGTGATAGGTTTATTTTTATTAATACTTAACTTGGTGAAAAAATGCATATGTAAATAAATAACAAGTATTCAAGGAAAAAAAACTTTAAAGCCCTGAAATGACTAATCTTAACTGATTGTTGGGCACAAATGCTTAAGGTTAGAAGCTAAGGGGATTTCTACAATCATATGAAGTTGGTAGAATTTTTGCCTAAATTTCTCACACTTGTGTTACGTAAATGAAACTAACATTTGAGTGACTACTCTCTCCCAGGACATTATTTCATTTAATTATAATAACACTCCTATTGGATAAAAACTAGCATCCTTCATTTTACCGAAGAGGAAACTGATGTTTATAGAGTTTTTAAAAAGCCACATGACTAGTCAGTGGCAGAATCAAGAGTTTAGAGGCAGGTGCTTGCTCTCTCTCTAATATGTCACCATTAAAATGGGTGTTCAGTTCTCCATATAATAATTGGCAAGTTAGAATTGAAATTCTTCCAGGTGATAATACAGTGCATCACAATAGTGAAAATTTTCATCTGTGTTGTTTCTGATAAGTAGAGGGAACATTCAGATGAACATGAATATCTTCTACTTAGTATGATTGTTACCACTTGAGTGTTTGCTATATTGGGGGCTAAGCATCATCATGTTCAATTCTTAAGTCAGAGGTAAGTAGTGGTATCCCTATGTCCACGGATGAGAATATTGAGGCTTCCTGAAGTAAAATTGTCATAGTCAGGAAACTAGAAGAGGAGAGCTGAGATTCAACTCAGGTTTTATTCTAAGACTTGTGTTCTTAATTACTCCTAAATCTTTTAGGGAGTTCATCTAACCATCCTCCGTTTCCTAGGGTGCCCAAGAGGAAATTTGACCAGTGGTTTAAGATGTTAAGCCTGTTAGTAATACACATATAAAAGGCATTTAGGGACGTTCTTAAAAGGAACTGAGAGTTTTTCTTAATTGTGATGTTTCCTCAATCTGTACTGCAGCAACCAAGCAGAGGTGACGTAAAAACTTTGTGACTGAGCAAGTGTGACTTGGTGACAGATTCCCACTTTTCAGGGGAGAGAAGGTGGTCTTTCTGTTCACTTGGAGATTTTGTGTCTGCAGCAACAAAAGAAAGGTGTCTTTGATGACGGGCACCCTACTAAAATTTTCCCTTTCCCCACTACCTGGCTTAGTCTCTGAATTACAATGGCTCTCTCTCTGCCATGGGTGCACCTTTGAGGGCAGGGACTGTTGTTTTCACATCGCATCCTCTGGACCCAGCTCAGTGCTCGCGTGAGGGAGGTACTCATGTATTTGACTGCATTGGTAATTGGTCTTTAGGAATTCTCTGGAGGCTTTTCAGTCATCAGCTTCATTAGTTGTAAAATCCCTAGAACATCAAGCTGTCATCTTATTGGGATTTAAATAGGATACTTGGCTTAAAGAGGCTCTTCAGAAACGCAAGTCCAGTTAGGAGGAGAGCACTGATATATGTGGGGTGTAGGACATACATCATGAGGAGAGGTGAAAAGAGAAAAGATTTGTGGGCTTTACTTTTCCCCAATAAGACCCTGGACTACTTTGTGTAGCATGCCAGGGTGGATTTAGTCTGTTGGACTTGGGTTCAGATTTTGGCTACACCCTTGCTAGTGATGTGACTTGAACAACATTATTTAACTTCTTTGCCTTTATGTACCCATCTATAAAATGGGTATATTAGGAACTGTACTGTGGGATTTGTATGAGGAAAGCTCCTGGTATGGCACCTAGGTGCTCAATGTTGTTCCCTTTTTCCATATAAAATACACCCTGCATTGCTCTGGGATCCAGAGTGTATGTTAGAGTGTATGTTCTAAAGTTACAGTGTGTGTGTGTGTGTGTGTGTGTGTGTGTGTCACAGAGTGAGAACAAGTGAGAGTGAGCAAGAGAGAGGACGTGCAAAAGAGCAAGAGACTGAGATGGTTTTGGAGGGAAGAGAGACTTTGAGTACATAAAGTTTCAGCTATGACTGAAAGAGCTTATGTTAATACCACAGCAATGCAGTTAAACAACGATTTTAAGCATGAATAACTGAGTTTCATATAAAACTCTGCTGTCAATCCTTCATGAATATGTAAGGATATGTTTGTTAATATTCTTTAATTTAGAGGTCAGTCGAGAGGATATTTTTATTTTTGGCCTTATTGTCACAGTTTTGGTAGTTAAATGGTGAAATTAAATATAATAGTTTGATTGGAGGATTTAGACTTATTTAAGGTATTTCTTATATTGCATTGTACACCTTCTTCAAAACCTTCTTGATGTCCTGCATAAATCATTAAAAATCTTTTAAAAATTTTTTTTGTTTTTATTTTATTTTTGAAAGAGAGAGAGAGACAGAATGTGAGCGGGGGAGGGGGTAGAGGGAGGAAGACACAGAATCTGAAGCAGGCTCCAGGCTCCGAGCTGTCGGCACAGAGCCTGATGCGGGGCTCGAACTCACTGACTTGAGAGATTATGACCTGAGCTGAAGTTGGATGCTCAACTGACTGAACCACCCAGACGCTCGCCATTTAAAGATCTTTTACTTGCCCTGTAAGCCCCCTGGACCATCTGCCTCCAGTTTTTCTGTTGACATTTTTTTTCTTGGTGGTCCTTCGATTGGATTATGCTGGAATCCTCAATGTCCCCCACCAAAGTGCTAAATTGTACTCCACCTTCTTTGTCTTTTCCCTGAGCTCTTCAAATGTCCTCACCCAAGTTATGCACATACTTCAGGGGTTTCCATCATTATTTCTTTCTTAAAGAAACTTTCCCATTTCTTTAGCCAGAGTGACCTAGCTTCTCTAAATTCCTAAACAAGGACTTCTCTAAAATAAAGCTTTTAGTGGTGGGGGCAACATCCTAAGTAAGATCATACATGAAAATGTGCAAAGCTACTTTCTTTCATTTTATTTTTATTTAAAAACATTTTTTTAATGTTTATTTTTAAGAGAGTGAGACAGAGTGCAGGTGGGGGAGGGGCAGAGAGAAAAAGAGAAAGAGAGAGAGAGAGAGAGAGAGAGAGAGAGAGAGATGCAGAATCGGAAGCAAGCTCCAGGTTCTGAGCTGTCAGCACAGAGCCCAACATGGGGCTTGAACTCATCAACCGTGAGATCACAACCTGAGCCGAAGTTGGACATTTAACTGACTGAGCCACTCAGGCGCCCTTATTTTCTTTCATTTTAAAACTAGAAGCCCACCTTCTCTTTAAGGTCAAATTAATTAACAGCTACAGAAACTTTAATTTCTATTGAATACATTCAGGATTAATTAAACATTGAATCTGGAATAGATAAATTGGTCGTTATATGGAGACCTTTTGTTTCATTGGTTTTTCACCCTCTTTTCCTTTTTTTTTTTTTTTTTTTTTTTTTGAAGCTGGTCTTTTTTGGGCTGAGTAACCAGATGGTTGTAGCTTTCAAGGAAGAGAACACTATAGCATTCAAACACCTCTTCTTAAAAGGATATGTGGACCGAATGGATGACACTTACGCAGTCTACACGCAAAGTGATGTGTATGATCAGATCATCTTTGCAGTCAACCAGGTAAATCAAGTATGTGCGTTCCTACTTGGGAGAAAGAACAGCCCAGGAAACTGTTAGCAAGGTATATAATAGAAACTGACATTCCAGTGTAGAAGGGTGAACATTTCTGTGATGATAGGGATAAAACCATTTTTAAATTATTTTTAAAAATATCACCATCAATCTTCTATGAAACTAAAAACTGAGAAAAACTTATTGTTTAGTGACAGAGAGGCAGAAACTTTAAAGGCTTCATTAAAAGAATCAGAGCTAGGGGCGCCTGGGTGGCGCAGTCGGTTAAGCGTCCGACTTCAGCCAGGTCACGATCTCGCGGTCCGTGAGTTCGAGCCCCGCATCAGACTCTGGGCTGATGGCTCGGAGCCTGGAGCCTGTTTCCGATTCTGTATCTCCCTCTCTCTCTGCCCCTCCCCCGTTCATGCTCTGTCTCTCTCTGTCCCAAAAATAAATAAAAAACGTTGGAAAAAAAATTAAAAAAAAAAAAAAAAAGAATCAGAGCTAGGGGTTGGCATGAGTGCTTCAAAGATTTAAAATTATTAACCGTGGCCCTGGTTGTAAGTACTCATTAAGTCTTCAGAGTTTATACTTTCAGGGGCTCTTAACCAATAATGAGAATATTAACTTTGCAGAGCATATATAGCAACTAAGATCTGAAGGTTCATTTAAAAATTAAGTAAGGCCTTAAAGTCATACATGACAATGATTTTATTGTAACATTGATTAACTGCCAAAAAAAGTAAATTATTAAAGTGAAATCATGGCTCCTCATTATCTAGAGACAATCTCTGTACCATGAGGTAGCAAACAGCCAGAATGAAATATGTATTTACGGCACCAAGGCTTTCTGTCAATGGCCAGAAATCTATAGTAATAGAAGGAGATTGAATAAGTTATTACACAGGATTCTGGGTCTATGTGAAAAATTCCTCTGTCAAGGCAGAGCTGCAGAGGTTAAGTGAGGACAGACGCCCAGCCCTGATTAAAGCCCCACAGAGGCCACAGCCACTTGGGGGCCCCATCGGTCAGTCCCACAGGTCACCTACCTTCCAGCCATAGTCCCACACACCACATTCCTGCCCCAGAGTCTCTGACTCCAGCTCCAGGGCTGCCCTTTAGCTGGACACAGTCCTACCACTTATCTCTGACCACCCAGCTCTCGCACAGACTTCCACAAACAGTCTTAACGAGGACAGCAAGGCAGTCCGGCCACAGCATATCCTATAATGTTAGCAGGTCACCTGCTGCCCTGCACCTTGGGTCTTTTATGTTTCAAGGTCTTACAAGGTTCAAGACTTACAAGTTTCTATGGTCAGGAGGTTCAGATCTTTAGGTAACTCCTGTGAGGATTGGCTCACAGACAGTGGGCACTCAGATGGGCCCGTACTTGTATGACTCGACTTCATGACCCCTGCTTGTTCTCCAGCTTTCCTTCTCATCACACCCCCCACCTTGCAGGCACGCTGGTCTACTTGGGACCTTACTACACTCAATATCTTTTACCCTTCGTTTTCATTTAATGGACTTGTTTACCTGTTACACCTTCCCACCCCCAAAATAAAACTACCAATTTGGCTCAGAGTAGCTTTAGCAAGGCGTAATACGCTTGTTTCCTCGAATAGAAAACAAAAACCTCAAAACTGACTATCTCTACGTCATACTGTTTGCCCCCTACATGTAGGACGTAATGCTACTTAACAGCATATGCAGCTTACTTTTATTACCGTGGATTTCTGGCTCCTTTTCCCAGTCCCATGGCCAATGGAGAGCTTGGTGCTGTAATTACATATCCTGTCCTAGCAGTTTGCCATTTCACTGTGAAGAGATTAGCTCTCATAAATGAAGAGCAACTATTGCTCTTCTGCTATAAAAGTGTTAGAATATTTTTTACCTTATCATGAATTTGACAAATATTTGAGCACCTCCTCTATGCCTACTACTGTTTTAAGTGCTGGGGTTAGAGCAGTAGCCTTGATAAATTCCTTGCCCTGTGGAATTTACATTCTAATGAAGGAGGTAGATTTTTTTTTTTAATTAATGTTTGTTTACTTTTGAGAGAGAGAGAGAGAGAGAGAGAGCATGAGCGGAAAGGGACAGAGAGAGAGGGAGACCCGGAATCTGAAGCACACTCCGGGCCCTGCACTGTCAGCGCGGAGCCCGATGCTGGGCTTGAACCCATGAACCGTGAGATCATGACCTGAGCCGAAGTTGGATGCTTAACCGATTGAGCCACCCAGGTGCCCCAAAGGAGGTGGATTTTAATAAGTTTAACCCAAACCATTTGGTTTCAGATAGTAATGAGTGCTATGGAGTAAAATTAAGTAGCACAAGAGGGTTAACAGTTTCTTCGAGGTGGTCAAAAAAGGTCTCTCTGAGGATTCGAAGTCTGGGGAAGAAGATTCCAGGCTGAAGGAGTAGCAACAGCAAAGGCTCTTGAAGCCAGAATACATTTAGTATGTTTGAGGAAATACAAAGGAGGGGAGTGTGACTGGGCTAGATCTCTTAGGGCTTTACAGGCCCTGAAAAGGAGCTTTGGAATTTATTCTCAGAGAGACCGGAAGCCATGGGAGGGCTTTCAGTGGGGGAGAGACTCTAATATTAGCAAAGGCTAATATCTGTTCCCTCAAGTATTTAGCATCTGTTTTGTATCAGATAGTGTTTTTGATACATGGATACTACAGTGAGCAAATAGACAAAGTTGAGGAAGTCATATTCTAATAGGGAGAGACAGGCAGTAAATAAGGATACCGTTTGTCAGTTGGTTATAAGTACACATAAGTGTGCTGTAAAAAAAAAAAAAAAAAAAGGTAGCAGCAGCAGGCAGAGTGAATGGGTGGAGGTGGTCAGGAAAGGCCCCCTGATAAGTGACAGGTGGGCAGGACAGCCCAGAGTGTGGGGAGGCAGACTGCAGCCATCTCAGGGAGGAGCCCTCCAGGGAGAAGGGACAGCACGAACAGAGTCTGGAACAGGTTCGTGTTTTGGGTATCACTGTCCTAACGGCTTTACGTGCATTAATTCACTTAGTCCTGTAACAATCCTGTGCATTCTTTTTTTTTTAAGTTTATTTATTTATTTTGACACAGAGAGAGTGAGCAATGGTCAAAGAGAGAGAGAGAGAAAGGGAGAGAGAGAATCCCAAGCAGGCTACACACTGTTGTCACAGAGCCCGACATGGGGCTCGATCCCGTGACCCTGAGATCTTGACCTGAGCTAAAATCAAGAGTTGGATGTTCAACCGACTGAACCACCCAGGTGCCCCAGCAGTCCTGTGAGTTCTATATGGAGACTGGACTGTGGTGAGAGGCGGACGGGAAGCAGGAAGACCACAGCAGTAGGAAGAGATTCAGTTTGTCAGGGTGAGGTGAGGTGGTGTGGACAAGGCGATGAGAGGCAGTCAGATTTGGAAGATAATTTGAAAGTAATGCATGACTTTCTGATGGACCGGAAGTGGAGTATGAGAAAAAGAGAGTGAAGAATCGGTTCTAAGTTTCGGCCTGTGAACCTGATTGGCTTATGGAGTCACTGATTGAGAAGGGCATTTTCATGGAAGGAGCTGGTTTTTCCGTTTGCACGTTTGCATTTGAGATACCTCTTAGACACCAGAGGTGCCATGCAGGCAGATTGCTACCCATGTATGCATTTGGGTGGAAAGGTCAGGAGACGTAAATTTGGAAGCTATTGGCGTACAGATCTTGTTTCATTGTGGGGCTGGTTGAGATCTCTTACCGAGAGAATGTGGGTGAGGAAGTGGAGGACTGAATCCAAGGGTGCTCTGACAGCTAGAGGTTGGCAGGAGCAGGCTTCAGCAAAGGAGACTGAGACAGAGAGCCTGTGTCCCAGAAGTCTAGGGGAGAAGGCATCCTGCGAAAGGGAAGGCACTCGGCTGCATCAAACGCTGTGGGAGGCTGAGTTAAATAAGAACAGAGAACCATGCCTCAGATCTGGTAAAATGCTGCTGGTGGCGGCCTGGACAAGGCCCAGCTCAGCATCTATCCCCCTAGGCCCAGATTACAAATGATTCTTTCACTGATTTTAGCATTTTCACATGCATTTTTATAGTAGAATTATTTATCTGTGTGTCCATCCCACTAAACCCAAGAGATGGCTGCTACCACATCCCTATCTTCATATCACTTCTTGTGCCAAACAGCATTGTTCATAGTAAGCTCTGAAACCCTTTTTTCTTCTACAGAAATGCATTCAGAGTTTAGGTTGATGGTTATTCCAAAGTACCATAAGATTCTCATTGGTAAAATTACATTTGTTTGTTTAGAGGACTCCAGGACGAGGGAATATTGCTGGGAAAGTGACTAAACTATTCTTGCAAAGATAAAGATGAAACTATTTTTTTTAAGTTTTGCAAGTTAGCTTGCAACGACTGTATCCCCCTTCCTATATTAAAGCAGCAAAGCGGAACTCTGATCTTACAAGAAATAGTTCAAAGATACAGTTTGTATTCACACTGAATGCACAGATCAGTTCCTGAACATAGTTCTTTAAAGAAGGAAAGACCGCAGAGATGACATGGGTTAAACCTTGAATTTTGTAGACAAGGAACCAGAGGCTCAGAAAGTTTGTGTCTTGCTCACAGTCACAGACATGAGACTTGAGCCCAAAACTTGAGTGCTTTTTCTGGTGGCTGTCCTGGTGCACATTAGCATGTCGCGTCCTACGCATGTCAGTGTGAATGTGAATGTCTCCATCCAGAAAGCAGGTTGGGATCTGCCCATTTCAAAGACGGGCTGGGTAGGGAATCATGGCTTCATTTCTGCCTGGCTGGTGTTCCCATTTTCTGTTTCTCTTTTCTGTTCAAGTACTTGCAGCTGCGCAGTATCTCAGTGGGGAATCATGCATATGAGAACAAGGGTACCGAGCAGTCTGCTATGGCGATCTGTCAGCACTTCTACAAGCAAGGGAACATCTGTCCTGGAAATGATACCTTTGACATTGATCCAGAAATGGAGACTGGTAATGTTCTTCAAAAAACTCGAGCTTCTATTTTTTAACTCCTTGATTTATACTTAAAGTTAGCAATTTTGTCTCTGAAAATGTTGATTTGGTCTGTACTGTTAGGTCATAGTGAGAAACTACATAGGAGTTATC